AGTAAAAACCTCACTTCTTCGGATGAGGTTTTTACTCACGAAAGCTTATGCCCAAATATATCTGTTAGTCTTTAAGGTGCCACCAGACTCCTTGTTGTTTTTGTAGATACAGACTAACACGGCTACCCCCTGATACTTAGTTTAGACATTGTCAGTCTGGGCAACCATAGAAGATTGCAGGAGTCCTTCCCTAACACACTATTAATCAGCAGGCTTTTTACCTCTGTTGGACATTTTTTTAAATGTTGTACAGTTCAAGTGTATCCCCCATTTGATTTTTTTAAGTCCAGAGAGGAGGAGTGAAGTAATGGAGCACTCAGAGAAATGTAGGACTGGAAGGGACCTGATAGGTCATTTAGTCTAGTCCCTGGCACAGAGGCAGGACTAAGTATTATCTAGGCCATCTCTGACAGGTGTTTGTCTAACCTGTTCTTAAAAAACATCTAATGACAGAGATTCCACAGCCTCCCTAGGTAATTTGTTCCAGTGCTTAACGACCCTGACAGTTAGGAAGTTTTGCCTAAGATCTAAGCTAAATCTCCCTTGCTGCAATTTAAGTTCATTACTTCTTGTCTTGTCCTCAGTGGATAAGGAGAACAATTTATCACCCTCCTCTTTAAAACAATCTTTTATGTACCTGAAGACTATTATCTCCCCCTCCCCATCTTCTCTCCTCCACACTAAACAAATCCAATTTTTTCAATCTTTCCTTGTACTGTCAGACCTTTAATTTTCTAGACCTTTAATCATTTTTGTTGCTCCCCTCTGGACTTTCTCCAAAATGTCCACATCTTTCCCAAAGTGTGGTGCCCAGAACTGGACATTGTACCCCCGAAGAGGCCTTATCAATGCTTAGAAGAGTGGAAGAATTACTTCTTGGGTCTTGCTTACAACACTTCTGTTACTACATAACAGAATGATTTTTGCTTTTTTTGCAACAGTATTACATTGTTGACTCATATTTAGTTTGTGTTTCACTGTAACCTCCAGATCCTTTTCTGCAGTATGCATCATAGTCAGTCATTTCCCATTTTGTATTTGGGCAATTGATTTTTCCTTCCTAAATGTAGTACTTTGTATTTGTATTTGTCCTTAATGAATTTATTTCAGACCATTTCCTCCAGTTTGTCAAGGTCATTTTGAATTCTAATCCTACCCTCCAAAGCCCTTGCAGCCCCTCCCAGCTGGGTGTCATCTGCACATTTTATAAGCGTATTCTCCATTCCCTTAGCCAAGTCATTAATGAAAATATTGAATAGTACTGGACCCAGGACTGGCCTTTTCAGGACCCCACTAGATACATCCTCCCAGTTTGACAGTGAACCATTCATAACTGCTCTTTGAATATAGTCCTTCAATCAGACCATATTTCCCTAATTTGCTTATGTGACTGTCATGTGGGACTGTGTTAAAAGCCTTACTAAAATCAAAATATATCACATCTACTGCTTCTCCCCTTATCCACTAGGTCAGTAACCCTGTCGAAGGCAATTAGGTTGGTTTTGCATGATTTGTTCTTGACATATCCATGCTGGCTATTCCTTAGAACAATTATCCTTTACATGCTTAAAAATTCATTGTTTAATAATTTGTTCCAGCATCTTTCCAGGTATCAAAGTTAGGCTGAATGGTCTATAATTCCCTGGTCCTCTTTGTTCCTCTTTATAGAGACTTAGGGCTAGATTCATAAAGGTTTAAGTGTCTACATCCCAATTTAAGGCTCTACCTCAATTCCCAAACTCTTGCCAAATGCTTTAGGCACCTACATTTTCAGGGTAAAAGTTCCTTAGGTACCTAATTTTCTGCCCTGAGCATGTGCACTGCTGCCTTATTCTAGACATCTGGGTGCCTGTATCCCACCTAAGGCTCAGAGCAATTCACAAACCAGGGAAGATGGCAATGCGTATCTTGTGAGTGGAGCCTGAGCCAATAGATGGAGCTCACTGGAGGACAATGAGATGGGTCACTAGCCACCTTATAACTTCTGTTGCAGTGGTTAGAGCACTCAGCTGTGATGGAGAAGACTCAGGTTCAATTCCCCCCTCAGGCAGTGAGGGGAAGAGAGGATTTGAACAGGGGTCTCCTACATCCCAGGTGAATGCTTTAACCACTGCAATAGAAGTTACAAGGTGGGTACCACCTCCTCTGGCTGTTTTGTGGGAGTTAGACACCTGCCTAGCTCATTTTCTGGAGAAACAGTTTAGCTGCCTGATTCCAGGAGTGGGGTTCCCATTCATGGATCTCCAGGCAGAGCTGCGTGCCTGCCTGCACTGGGAACATAGGCACCGACCTCTGAGGAAGCACACAAACCTCTGGTTGGCAATCTTCCATTGGCTGTCTTAGGGAGTTCCCTGCCTAGCATGCTGGTTTTTGTGGATTTCACTCTGAGCCACCTCTCTCTCTCTCTCCATTCACTGTATAGGAAGCTTAGGCACCTAACTCAAGATTGTGAAGCACAGCTGGTGTTCTTGAGACTTTCTTGGTCCCTAAAAGCTAGTCATTGTGATACTGACCATTGGAATGCTCTTTGTGACTCTAGCCCTTAGGTCTTTTCTTCAATGCTAAAAAACAAAATCTGTATTAGGTTTTGTTTAAGTTGGGGTCATGGGTGTAGTTTGGGGAGAGGCAGGGAGCATTCCTCCCCTCTCCTCTTAAAACTGCAAGCCTCAGGCAGGTGCAGAATTTACCCCCCTCCCCCCGCAAGTCAAACTACGCCAATGCTTAGGGTAACTAAGGTGCAGAAGCTATTCTGAGATTTAAAAAACAGTGAGGGAAAGGCCTGAGAAAATATCTCTGGAATAAGCGAAGGCAAAACGCTCATATGTTTGTGCCAAAGGAGAGACGTGCAAATTTTGTTTTGAAAACTTGATCAATATGTGAGACCACGAGAAGGGGAAGTCTGTATAAGGAGCCATGGTAGATTTT